ATGATTTCTACCACACAGCCCCTCCCCGGCCCTCCAGTCATCAGGCTCCCCTGTGGACACACACCATTAAAAGAATTATCTCATCAGCAGCAGCATGAGGGGGAGATTTGTAATTTAAGTGACTCTTTCAGACAAGGTTAATGAGGAATAAAAGAAAATTACCTTCCCAAACAGGACTGTCTATCCGGGAGGACTGCCATTTGCCTTCATACTGACAGAGAATTTATTGATTCCTAGCTCTGTGCTCAGGCTTCCAGAGACAACCTTTGACAGGGTCTTCTAGAAATTTCCATAGACCTTTCCCTGATGAATTTCTAGGATGACTAGATACGTACGATTACAGAATAGATAGAATGCTGAGACTGGCTAAGCCAGCCTGCGAAGGCCTGCAGGAATATTGAGTGGTTTCAGTAGGATTCCTCATCTGATCCATTTATAGAAAAGGGAACTGGGGGCTTTTAGAGAAAAAAATTAAGCTCTTCATAGTTCTCCCAGGCACATTCTAGTGAAGACTTTATAGCCAAATAATAACTATTAAGCAAATGTATTACATTGTCTTTCTACCAGGAAGCAAATGGCTTTCTTTGCACTAAGAATAACAAAAGACTTATTTGAAATCTTCTTGAAATATAGCTTGAAATTCTTTGTGATAAAGAATATCTGAAAGGCAGATTTTCTTTCTTTCCTGTGTGTGGGGACAGATTTGTAGGAAAAATAAAAACCTCAAAACTGGTTTTATCTTTTTAAACACTAACTTTTCACCTTTCCGACCCTTTTTTCTTTTCAATATAGAACTTCAGCACAGTAAAAAGGGACATGGACATGTCAAGTGTCCTTTGAAGAAATCCTTTTGATAGAAAGAATAATAATCTAGAGAGAACACAGAACATCGCAGTGCTTTCCATGCTTAATAATTACTGGAATGGAGAGAAAACCTTGGAGTTTTGTTAACGTTTCCCAAAGAAATCTCCAGCCTTGTTAAAATCAGCACTGAGGAATGAAGAAAAGAGGCGACACAGGAATTTCATGAGCAACTTCAGTTACCTGAAATGTTAAACAGCCATTTCTGAGTCTGTGTGGAGCGAGCCCCGCCTCCCCGCCCCCACCCACTTACCTAGAAGGGTACACTGGAGGACCGGGTCACCCCATCTGGGAGCAGGAGCGACCTGCTCCCAGATCTTACTGACACAGAGACAGGAAACACTGGCTCAGCTTCAGGGCAAGACAGAAGAGGGACAGGGGCGTCCAGAGTCCCCCGGGGGCCAGGCTGTGGAGGAGCTAATCTCTTCCTCCACCCACCAGTTCCCCTTCCCTGCACACTCCTCAGCACACCTCCTCCACAAGAACCCCTGCCTCACGCTCTGCTCCTAACCCAGGTTAGGCCCCAAGGAGCCTTTCCAGCTTCTTTAACGGCAGCGGCAGCGAGGAGGTCCTAGGAGCCCCCAGACTGGTGTCTCTCGCATCCCCACTCCTGTATCTCAGGGCCTCTTTGCCCAGCATTTTCCAAAAGATTCAGTGTTTAAGAACCTTTGGGAAACATCATTTCCCTTATCCCCGCTGTGGGGAGTCAGTTACAGACCTTGCATTACAGAGATATGGGCATATCCGTGTTTAAAGAGGCACAAGTCATAATAGCTAAATATTAAAAGTGGTCTGTGTATCTATCAGTGGATGAAAGGATACAGAAAATGCAGTGTTAATACATAGTGGAGTACTACTCTGCCATAAAGAAAGACACACTTGAATCATTTGTAGGAAAATGGATGCATCTGGAGACCATAGTGTCAAGTGACACAAATCAGACACATACCCTTAAATATGGCATGATTTCCATTAAACAAGAAACCCAAATTATATTTAATGAGTAAAATAAAAGGGAGATAATAGGATAGAGAGGGAATTAAGAGATGGAGGGAAAGGGGAGAAGGAAAGAGGATGGAAAAGGAGTTAGGATGTGCTATGTACCTGGAGCAGCTCCACATAGGAACAGAAACGTTACGTTCTGCAAACCTGTACTAATGGAAACAAGACTTCATTAGTAGCATCCACATGATTGGGCAGATGGAATAAACTCTGAAGATTTACTGTATAGTGGTGGCAATCATTACTGAAGTGTGTGTTCAAAACCCACTAAAATAATAGTCCCAGACAACTGTGTCAAAAAAAGAAAAACAAGTATCAGAGATTCTTATTTAGCATAGCAAAGGTGGACTTCTAAACATGCCTGGAGTCCACTTCCGAATCCTACAAAAATCCTACTCTGTGGCTCGTCCTATAGAACGCAAGACCCCTGAGATGCCTTCTCTGGTTGGCTGTTGCCTGAGTGACCAGCTGGGTAGCGATGCGTGGCATCCACATGACAGCACTGCCCTGGGTCTCCTTGGTGACACCACTGCATCGTCCCCAGAGTTACTGCTCTTGCCATGGACAGAGGCCGGCTGCACTGCCAGCTTTTTCAAGTGACTTTTCAGCAGCAGCCGCTCAGTGTTTAGAATGCAAGCTGCAGACTCCTATATACACAGAATCTTTCCAGATCCAAGTTGACCAAACAAGGGCCCAGCATGGTTTATCAAGGGTTTTCCTGTGGGGCTGGACATGCGCCCTGTGGCCCTGGCAAGGTGACCTCCCTGGCCTGGATTCAGTTCTGTTCCGGCAGGTGATTTCAGGTCTCCATTTGTGTCAGTTCTTTTTTTAAATCAATTTATATTTTTAAACATTTAGTAAATCCAGATACTTTTCCCTGCTGCTTTAGATGCCAGCAATCAGTGTTTAATAATAATTTAGCTTTTTGACCAGATAGAAAGGTGACTTTTCTCTGAAAAAAAACAGAGTGTTTATCCTCAAAATAACTTCATCTTCTTTCAGTTCTAAGCATGAGAAAATGATTCAAGTTTCATCAGAAATGAGCTGTAATGTCTGCATGTTTATAAATAAATTAGAGCTGTGGGGTGTGTGTGTTTGTGTGGATTTAGACATAAACCCTCCAGCTTTTTGTTCCCTTTCCAGCTTAGCTAGAGCAGGAACCACCAGGCGTAGGAAGAGAAGCAGCCATTTACATGGCATTTAGTACGTAGCCTTTTATCGGAGGTATAAAGAAGCCTCCAGACGTTTTGCTTTCGCACTGCTCAAGTGACTCCAGAAGGACAAAGATCCCTAAAAGGCCAGCGCGTGGCAGCCACTGCCTCTGGCAGTAACCACAGCCACATCCAGGTTCTCACAAACACAGCAGCCAAGGTTGCCTTTCCCTGTAACCCTGCAGCTCAGGGTCAATGGGGTGCAAATTCTCATGAGTGACTGGTCTCTCTCTCCCCTTCCAGCAGTGTCACAAAGAACACTGCCTCCTGGCTTCCTAACCTGCCACCGACCTTTCTCCCTATGTAGTGAGTGAGAAGAGCAGTGTAGAATGAATCTGCCTACAAATACACGTAGAAATACGTGTTTAAGTGAAAGAGAGCCTGTCTTGGTTCATTTTGTGTTGCTACCACATGATACCTGTGGCTGGATGCTGTAAAAAGATAAGAGGTTTATTTAGCCTGCAATTCTGGGGGCCCAAGAGCATGATACCAGTATTGGCTTCAGGTAAAGACCTCGTGGCAGGTAGCATCCCATAGTGAGACAGAGAGAAAGGGAGACAGAGAGATTATAGGGCAAGGAAGGACGCAAGAAAGTCAGGGTGGGCTGGACTCACTCTTAAAACAACCCATTTTTGCAGTAACCAATCCACTCCCACAAGAGTAAGAGCACAATCTTGCAACAACAACAAGGCTTCCTGAAGGCTTCAGCTCCCCATACCACTACTGTGGTAACTAAACATTCAGCACATAAATTTTGGGGGAACAGCATGTTTCTGTGCTTTGCTTTCTACTGAGGGAAACTCTTCCCTTCCAGGAAGTGGCATCCTCTTCATTCTTCCTGTCATGCTCCGAGAGCAGGTGCTCCTTGGTGCCATTAGCAATGCAGCCTCTCCCCCTAAACACATTCAGGAGTGATGTCAACCCACATACAGGTGCACATGCACATGTGCACACGTGGGCGTAAACACACACACACACACACACACACATGCACATCATCACCCCCACTTCTAATCATGCAACAAGAAGAACAGATGTCATGTCCCGAAAAGTAAAGTAGGTGTGTGTGTATGTGCACGCGTGTGTGCGCACACGGGCACACACGTATGGCCAGAGCAAACTCTTGACAGATTTATTTTAGGTTTCTTCAGGAAAATGCTTGTTTTCTCTGTGTCAAATCAACCTTCATTTTCTGGGGAGATGCAGTTGGCTTGGTTTAGTTTACTAGAGGGTCCATGGCAAAGTGCCACAGATCAGGTGTGGGTCAAACCACAGAAATATTTTTCCCCATGATTCTGGAGCTAGAAGGTGCTGGCAGGGTTGGTTTTATCTAAGGCTCAGCTTGCCCATTTCTCCTGGTGTCTTCAAATGGTCTTCTCTCTGCATAGTTGTATGCCCTGATTTTTTTCTTCCAATAAAGACATTAGTCATATTGGGGTGCAACACACTCTAGTTATTTCATTTTAACTTAGTTATCTCTTTAAAGATTCTGTGTCCAAATACAGTCAAGTATCAAGGTGCTAGGGGTTAAGATTTCATAAGATGAAATGATAGTGTGGGTGACATAATTTGGCCCTAAAATTAGCAGATGGATAGATGGATGGATAGATAGGTGGGTAAATATGCAAGAGATAATAAAAATAAAGCAAATGTATTTTTAAAAACTTACTTGTGGCTGGGCATGGTGGTGCATGCCTATAACCTCAGCACTCAGGAGACTGAGGCAGGAGGATCACTATGAGTTTGAGGTCAGCCTGGGCTACAAAGTGATTTCAAGACCAGCCTCAAATGAACTGTGAAGTGAAACCCTGTTTCAAAAAGACAAGAAACAAAACAAAACAAAATGAAAAAAACTTATTAGTGTAAAAGACACACTTTCTGGAGTGATGGCATATGTGTTTGAAGTCAGAGGGAGCAGTGTGAGTGTTTAAAGGGGGTGAATGACAATGTGTCTTTTATTACAATAACTTTGTATTTAAACATACACTGTATTTTTGATCATCCTACATATACATATTTTTCACATTTTGTTACAGACAAGAACTAAAGCAAAAATGCAAGATGAACTGGACAGGCTCACAGCATCTCAACTTAGATGAAGAAAAAGAGAACTGACGTTCCCATCCTAAACACGATGCAGTACGAATGACCAGGATGTGCCCTGCTTAGACTGTTTGCATTGAGTAGTAGTTTTCCCGCTGGGGCCATGGAACAAGGCTGACTCACCGTGGCACAGGATGGGGCGCCTGAAAGCACTGGACATTCTCACTGCCAGCCAGCTGAGCAAGTGGATTCTTCTGGAACCTCATCTGAAGTCCAAGGCATGGACAGATTTGTCACACACATGGGACTTAAATGAGTTAACTCCTGCTCTATAAGCAAAACACTGAGGGACCGGGGATTTAGCTCAGCGGTACAAGCACCTGCCTGGTAAGCACGAGGTCGTGAGTTTGATCCCCAGTACCAAAAATTTAAAAAGAGCAAAGCCCTGTAATATTTATGCTGGGGAAGCCACTGGCAGACAGAGCCCACCTGTAGCTTCACTTTAGCCAGTGAGATTGAGAGGCACTAGTGTTTCTGTTTCGGTTGCAAAGAATCTTACACCATTTATCCTTTTGCATCTGGCTTATTTCATGTGACATATTATCTAGAAGGTTCATCAGTGCTGTAATGTGTGACACAGCTTCCCTCCTTAGGAAGGCTGAGTGGCACTCCATGTGTACACCTTTGGCCTACGTCCTCACCACCGACGGGCACTCATCTTGCTCCCGGCTCTCGTCTATTGTGGTAACACTGCTAGGAACACGGGTGTTCAAGGGACCTCTTCCAGACCCGTTTCGAGTCCTGCGTAAGAACCGCCACTGGATTGTACCACTGGAGCTCCCGGCTTTGAATCCTGAAGTGGAAGTGCTGGGCATCCATGGATGAAGTTAGAATTCTGCAGAGAAACAGAAACAAGAAAGGTGAGTGGTGAGGGAAAGCCAGAGAGAGAGAGACAGACAGACAGAAAGAGAGAGAGAGAGGAGAGAGGGAGAGAGATGAGTTTCCTCCTGCATCATTCAAGGTTACTTCCCGCAGTCTCGCCCACTCCCTCCCTCTCCCTAAGGTAACAGCAGGAAGCTGAATTTTGGCCTCTCTGGTCTTACTCCCTGATGCGATGTCTGTGAGTACATTCCATCCCACAGTGGAGGGAATTAAGCTTCTGGACCTTAACAGAAATATACAGTCTCGGATGGCAGGACCAGGGACGAAGTATCCACGGAGCACACAGAAGAGGCAGGAGCGATGAAGCCGAAGCGGAGGGCAGAGAACCAAAGCACAGAAAAGGCTCAATCACTCAGCTGAAGAAAAGGGTGCATAAGCCAGGAAAGGAGGGCAGCCTGCAGCTGCTGGAAACAACACCCCACACCCTGCCGGCAGCCTGCAGGAAAATGGGGCCTCAGTGGGACAGCTGTATGGAACTGCGTGTGGTCAGCAACTGGAATCACCCTGGAAGTGAATCCTTCCGAGAAAACTCAGCCTCCTGCTTCCGAGTCAGTCTCTGGAAGGCTCAGAGCAGAAGGCTCGGGGAGCTAACCAGACTTCTAGAACCTGCTCCCGCTACTGCAGCCCAGGAGTAATTTTTTCCTGCCGTGTCTCATACATGTGCATGCCACACATGTGTGCCCACCACTCCCTACTACTTTCACATGCCCTCTGCCCCCCCCCCCCAGGGAAGTGCATGGCAGGCTCTCTTCCCCTCCGGGAGAAGCATGTGTCAGCCACCAGGCTGAGGTGGCCATTCCCCAGCAGGCCTGCATCTCTGTAGTTCCCTGCCCTTGCCCTCCACACAGCTGAACTCACCTGCAGCCTCATCTTTCTGGGCCTCATCAAATTTGGAACTAGCATTGAACAGCTGAGCATTTCCCATGCTTTGTCACCGTTAATTTCCTTTCTCCATGGAAATTAGGACAACTCTTACCTTGCAGCCAATCACTCATGATGACACATGCATGGAACAGTGGCTGGCATCAGGAAAGCCACTAAATTCCCTCAGATTGGTGCTCCCGTCCTTTTCTTGATCCTCTGCTTTTGTGTTGGTAAAATTTTTTAAAAATAGTGTTATTTTCCACTGTAATACGTTTGCAGGTTATGAAACAATCCTACCCACTGAGAGCCAGAGTGAAATAAACATGGTTGTTAGCTTAGAAACTTTCAGAATTTCTGAGAACTTATATGATATTCAGAAAAAAGCCCCTCTAAGAATTCCCAAATAAAATACAAGGTACACAGCTAAATTTGCATTCCACATAAACAATAAATAATTTTTAGCATAACCATAGCACAAAACTCCTGTGAGACATCCTTATGCTGAAATAGTATTAATTATTTACTAGCTCTTCAAATTTAATTGAATATCTTGTATCTTCATTTGCTATATCTGGCAAACTTATTCCTACATGACTTTAATTCAGACTTGTTATCATGGGTGACAATCTTGGAATCAGTCTGTAAAGATGCTCAGATGGGGCTCAGGTTATAGCTCAGCAGCATGTGTGTCTGCCTGACAAGCACAAGGTCCTGAGTTCAATTCCCAGTACAACCCTGACCCCAAAAAAACCCGAGAAAAACACTCAGACTTTCAACCATTGTTCTCAGGGCTAGGACCAGAGCATAACAAACCATCCTTTTCTTCCTCTTCTTCAATTTCACAGTGCTTACATTCTGTGGGGAGCATCAGGATAGAGAGAAAATTTAAACAAGAACACTGTTTAACTAGAAGGCAGTATGAAAGGTGAGCTGGGCAGGAGTGGGTGTTAGTCTACCTAGAGTGGCATTTGGCTGATACCCAGAGGAATGCTCTTTGGACATTGGAGGAAGATACAGTTTATCTTAAAGTTACATTCCCACTCATTCCTCACGGACTCATTGAAGGTTTAGTAGGTAGTCAGCACCGAAATAAGCAGTGACAGTGCAGAAAGGAACGTGACATAAGGCGTGGCCTTAGATCTCTTCTGTTTTTACGATGTTACGTACTACAAGGGAGAGATTGCCAAATACACAGATATATATAGGGCTCAGGGGCTCAGAGGTCCTCGGCAGAGAGAAAGGAGGGCTAGCATGAGCGTGAGATCATTGCTCTGGAAAAGCTTTAGCAAGAGTTACACGAGCTGCTGGAAAAAGTGAGGGGTGGTTTGCTAGGAGCTGGGAAAGAGCATTCTGGTCCCAGCGGCTATCTGAGAACCTTGGTGGGGAGCTGGAGGTCACTCAGCAAGAACAGGCAGGAATTCCATGGATGTGTGTCAGAGGATGGGCTGGTCCCCACCTACAATCCTGAAGGTTGTACTGAGACCGCACCACACTCCATAGCCAGTGGGGCACTGCCAAAGGATTTAAGTGGAAGGACAGAACAATCACATTACTCAGGCAACAAAAATGGAGGTTGGATTGAAATGAGTCCAGAAGCAGAACCTAAGAAGAAATGTAACTTAGCTTCAGTTACCTCCTGGTTCACAATATGAATGAATTGAAAATTTGAGGGCCTTAGTAGCAAGACTGAGAAACTACTATATAGGAAAAAAGTCCAGAAATCCAGGGTTACAGTTTCTTCTTTACTTGAGTGGCATGCACATGTGATCAAAGATCCATTTACATTTACAATTGCCTAACAATTCATATTGCCTGTAGCTGTTTGATTGCAGTTGCCAAATCAGAATTCTTATGGCTGTAGACCGCAGGTTATATTCAGTGGAGAGTTTCTTCAACTTTGGCCTCTTCAATGAGAGATGAAAGCTATAAAGAACACAGCATCTGGAGAAGGTCATCTTTTTTAGTGCTTTTTCATGTCGTCCTTTTGGAGAATTTGCTTTGAGTCTCTAAATGCACTATGCATCAAAGCATCGGATACTGTGTTTTCTCTAGGCTGATCTTCCCTCTGCTCTTAGGTAGAGTCTGTACTCTCAATTGAAAGGTGATGTTAGGGACACAAGTCCATTGGGGGTGGCTGTTAAATTCCTTCCCACACTATGCAGGATGCTAGAGCTTTAGGAGAGAGTACTCCATTTGCAAATCGGACTCATGCAATGTTATATTTGTTTGTTTACTTATTTATTTATTTTCTCAGAATGAGATCCTTTAAAAACCCATAGTTGAACAAATGGGTTAAGCAATCTATGATGTGGGATACCTTTGAGTAACTATTGCTGACATTTCTTTCTTGTTTGTTTTGTTTTATTTTTGAGACAGAGTCTCACTCATTATGTAGCCCGGGCTGGCCTTGAACTCATGGGGATCCTTCTGCCTCAGCTTCCCTGGTCCTGGGATTATAGGTATGCATCACCGCACCCAGCAACATTTCTAACTTTCGCAGAGGTGAATATATTGAAATAAATGAAACCACATGCCTGAGTCTCTTCCAAGGTCCTGATCCTAATTTTGCACCTGTAATTCTTGATCCCTGATGAAGGATCAAACTTGTATAACCTTCCAGCTCTATAAAACCTAGGTTTACGGTTGAGTGTAAATAAATTCAGCCTCACCAGCACCGCAGTGAGATCAGAGGCAGAGTGTTTTCTAAATTCCATAGAAACATGTTCTGTAATCACTGCAGCCTCCCTGAATTCCTTCTAGACATTTCCAGGAATTTCCAGAAGCATGTCATAGATTTTCAAGCTAATCTCTTGGCAGTGGTGATGGTCATTTTCCTCCTGCCTGTTCCACACCACAGTAGAGATGGGTCTCATCAGTACTGATAGGAAAAGTCGTAGCTCTGCCGTTGATACCAGCTCCATGCTGATAGCAGCTGCTAGGGATTGGAACTTTAATATCTCCCAAACCCCGTGTCTTAAAGGATTGTCATGCCAGGTGGCAGGACTCGGAAGTGGTGGAACCCTGAAGAAGTAGATCCTCATGGGGTGTCTTTAACTAAACAAGGGGTGTTCTTGTAGGAGAGGGTGGGACTCTGACCTCTCCCTGATGTTTTGCTTTTCTGGCCATGGGGGGAACAGTTTTCTCCGGTGCACACCCTGCCACTATGTGCTACCTCACTGCAGGCCCACAGTGAAAACAAACTCCCATATTGTGAGCCAAAATAAAAAGTTTCTCTTTGTAAATTAATTATCTCGGGTATTTTGTTACAGTGATTCAGAACTTACTAACACACCTGCCATGCCCAAGCCAAAGCAACCAGAGCTCATTTTAAGTCAGGAGATGCCAATGTGGTGTATATCCAATCCCTAGGGCTCCTTCACCATCTCGGATCAGGGATGCGACCATCCCCCCTTCCAGCCCTCTTTATTTTTGCATGCAATGGATTGCAACCAGCTCACCACATGTCTCAGGCTTAACACTGGCAGGTCTGCTGGGAAGACAGTGTCAGAGACAGATCCCAGGCGATGCCTTCACTGTATGACTGCTGCTTGTGGTATCACCACGTCATAGCTCTCCACATCCAGCAAGTTCCTCAGCCTTTCCATGCCTCAACTCTCCCTGCATCTGTAAAGTGCGTGGGGTTGCTGTGAAAACAAACTGTATAAATGCACAGAGATTGCATGGGAAATGGCACTGAATGGAAAAGTTGTACACATTGAATCACCTGGTTGAAGCATGAAATAATTGTCTATATTTCAATAGGATCTCTGCTATTGGCTAAATTTGTTTACCTTTTGCAGCCATAGCAATACATATGCACAGAATTAAAAAGACAAAGAGCAGAGACAAAAAAGACACAGAGCAAAGAAAATAATTTTCACACCAACCTGCAATCCATTAGATCTCCTCTCTGCTGCAAAGCTGCCGATTCCTCACAGGTGCTCCAGGGGAACCACTACGTGATTTCCAGCCTCTGTGCAGGGTGAGCTCTGGAGCTGACTTACCACAGGTCTACAAAGGTGACAGGGAGGACAGTGACCAGCTTTCCTATGACTCGCCCTTAGGCAGTGACCATCTGGAGGAAGAGCCAATTAACAACGAATCAGGGCAGAAAGGACACAAAGCTGCAATCAAGGTAGCAGGAAAAAAAATATAAAGAGGGAGACAGCAGAAGTCATCCTGAGTGGAACAGTTAGATGCTGCTGAGCTTAAAATCATGCATGACTCCTTCTATGTGTCTGTGCTCAAAGATTTATTCAGTCTGATCCCAAAGAAATTTTAAGAAGACAGTATAATTTTGCTTTATGTCAGGTATGTTCAAATCACCTTGTGCCAAAGCTTAAGTTAATTTAGAAAAAGAAAACAATGAGACTGATGTAGTCCTAACATGGTGGAGCAGAGTCACACTGGTCTCCAGGCAGCTATTCACAGCCCTGCACAGGGCTCTTTGTCCTAGACCATCAGCCCATGGACCAAGTTTGTTAATGAGGGCAATGCGCAACTCACCCAAACCCCACAACAAACAGAAACTCAAACAGTACCTTTGAATGCCATGCACACAGCATCGTCAACAAAAAACACTATGTCTTTAGAGGGATGATGGGAAAAAGAAGCAATTTTGGACTTCTGAGGCTGGGAAATGATGAGAGGGTAGGTGTCTGGGAGGAAGTTAATGGAATAAGACTTAGAATTGGGAAGAAAAGGGACCGTGCAGAGCATGTAGAGAAAAATCTTCAGTGTTCCTTAATTGCCCCCTGGCTCAAAAGTAATTTTTATTTCAAAGAGGAATATTTTACAGTAACTTATTCTAATTCCCTTCACAAGGATACCTTCCGCATCAAATGTATGAGTCACATATTGTGGAGTCTTGGTGCCTAGGTTTCAGTTTTATAAGCAAAGTGCTACCTCAAAATATGCCACACACACACACACGCACGCACACACACACAGGGCAGCAGCAGCAGGTGTAAGAAAGACTCTCTGAGCTTCATCTCTTTCTCCTGGAAGCAGGAAGTAAAACCCCACATGAAGGATGTCACCCCTGCACCAGAGGACTGTAGCACTCTTGCCAAGGACATGAAGTTGGTGTGGGAGAGACTGTGTAGAGCAGACTTTGCTAAACACATCCTTGTCTTTCTCTAGGCTTCCCACAGTTGTCTGTCATTTTCTTCTGAAGGGTTTCCGTGTTACATAAACGTATTCTCCTGCATGCCTGTCATATATCAGCCAAATTCCCTAAGAAAGGAGAAATAAATTTTTCCCTCCTGCATGATCACAAATAAATTTGATCTCATTACATCTCCACTGCAATGTGCTTGTGATATACGTTCATTGCTTGTAGAACAGAGATCTGCATTAAACATGGACCTGCCCGGGCCAGCCCTGAGCCTGGTCTTGTCCTTGTCATCTGTCCACGGGCTTTCTCTGCCTGCACCACCCAGACCTCATTTCCCAGATGTGGTGCGCAATAACCCACCCTAGGGCAGTGCTAACTTTTCTCTCTCAAACCATTCCTTCTTCCTCTCCCACCCTGCAGTTCTCAACTCAGTCCTCCCTTCGGAGGGGCCTTTCCTCAGCTGCTGACCAGGCAACATTTCTGAGAAGGGCTCCCACACTTTCTTGCACTCCTCCTCCTTGGCTTTGCTTGCATTTGAGTGATTAGCTGAGTAACTAGTGAACCCATTGAGAATACAAATCCAGTTCGGTTTTATTTTCCATCGTGTTTCTAGCACTCAAACCAGAATCTTCATTAGGCTGTGGAATGAGTTAACAAATGAAATTATCACTGTGTCCATCTATACGTTCCCTTCTTGCTTTGTTGCATGGTCTCCATAGATACAGTCACGGACACTTCTGAATTAGATACAGCGCAAAGATCCTTTGGTAATCGAGGTAGGGTTAGTTCCCACTGAGAAAACCACCAACCTGAACCAAAGCTGAGGTTTGAGAAACAGGGACAAATGCTGCTTTTGCACAGTCAACAAAGATTTTCACGGCATGCTACCGCTTTCTTTCCCTGCTTGGGAAAAGTAATTCTTTGCTATTGTCCAAGTAGGAGGTGTGTAATGGAGAGACATGAAGAGGCGCTGGGCTGGGTCACGGTGAGTCGCAGGGAATGGTATCAGTTGACTACTTGTGAGCCACATCCGCAGGCTGTTTGAATCGCTCACATTGTAGCCCCCAAACCGGAGATTCCTCCTGTGACCGATGCCTGCAGCTTTTGTGTTTGCCAACTCTGGGAAGCCCATGCTGGCTGAAGCACCAGGAAGTGTTGATTTCCTAAAAGCAGGCAACCTGCTGTTGAAATTTATGTTGGCCTTCAACTGCCACAAAAGCGATCTGCTGAAAAGTTTATTTCAAGTTAAAATGAAAAGGAAATGTCTTAAATGAATCCAGCTGTTTGCTTCAGTTCTCTCTCTCTCTCTCTCTCTCTCTCTCTCTCTCTCTCTCTCTCAACTAGCTGAGCCAAGCACATTGATTTTTTTTTTCAGAAAAATAAACTAGAAAGACTGTGGATGTATATAGCCAAGGGCAATGGTGTCTCAGAGAAAATTCAGTCAAATAACCAAAATGCCATTTCTGAGTAAGCGTTCCCACTTTTTTGGAATTTAATTGGGAAATAATGAAGCCCTTCAGCCAAGAAGGAGGAAATAAGGAGGTAATTTGCCTCTTCTTGTGAGCAAGTGGTCCATTAGAAACTGGAAGTGTAGAAACCCCCGAGGGAAGCTCAGTGTGCTCATTTCTCCCCTGTGTTCAGTTTTGGGCTCTGAACTGTGAAGGACAGCAGAGTTTTTCTTTCTTTTCCATAATGAAGCACACTGCAACTCAGTGGTGAAAGTGAGAAGCAGATTCCCAGACATCTAACACATAATCTTGATGTAGTAGGTCCAACACAAAAAAACAGGAAACTGTGTCATGAACATACATTGCATCCAGCTCACTGAGGGCCGAGCAAGCTGTTTCACATATTAGATATGATCAGAAATACTGTGAGTGCCATTCAGTGAAAAGGCAGGGATTCTTTACCCAGAAGCAGGGTGTCAAACCTTGGTAGCAATGTGGGGCGCATTTCAATGTGTGCTGTGCATCCGTTGGCTGTGAGCTGGGGTTGAGAGGAGGAGTGTTTTAGAGTGTACCCTAAATCCTAGATCAAGAACACCACATTAACAGGAGGTACCACCAACTTTACTGGACTGCATGATTGTGCTACTTCAGATTACACCTTTTTAAAGAAATGTCATGAAGATGAACCTGGCGTCTGTGGTTATAATCTTGAGACCAAGGCTCAGAGTTCTCAGTGGAATCACTCAGTCCTCGTGAAAAAGGAAGAAAGGAAAGAAAGGAAAAGATTTAACACTAAGATGATGTTGATTGTGTTTTTTTCCCTGAATAGAATCGTGAAGCCGAGTTTGCACCCATGAGTAATACTACACTGAACTCCGAAAATCTTAAGGACTTATTAGGGCATCTAAGGAGTGATGTGTGTATCCGGCCTGAGGGATGAGCAAATGGTGCCATCCCCTGTCCTGCACAGCTCCGGCATGGCAATTTCTGTCACACAAACACACTGCACTGGGTCTTCGTCCACCTTTTGCTCTGGATATGGCACCACATGACTTCTGACCTCCCCCAAAATCACAACAGCCATGAAAGGTGAATGATTCAGGACATGGAGGGAGCCACTAGCACAATCAAAGGCACAGAATAGAACTTCTAGAACTGCTATAGAAAGTGGCAAGAACTAGTGATGTGTCTTTTGCTATAATTTTTAAAATTTAAACATTACTGTATTTGTTGATCATACTGTATACTATCACATAAAATAAATGTGATATACAAATAGCAGAATTTCACTCTTCCATAAAGAAGGGGTGAATGCCAGTTGTCTGTAGGAAAACAGGTGGGTCTTGAGACCACAGTATTAAATGAAATAACTCAGATACAAACAGTTAAATACTGCATGATGTTTCTCATATGAGAAACTCAATTATACACAAGCAGTAAAGTAAAGACAGAATTTATGGCATAGTGAAAGAGAATCAGGAGGGAAAATGGAAAATAAAAAATTATTAAGATATGCTATATATTATGTCAATTACCCAAATGCAGGTAAGTACTACATATTGCAAACATATACCAGTAAAGAATAAAGTAAACTAAAAAGCTATCGCAATGCTTCCTATATTATTTTGTGTCACAGCAGACTTTGGTTTTGAAAGTGTCTTTGCCAGGAGTTGTATGGGAGCCAGATATTTGCAAAAGGGTACAAAATTTCAATTTCAAGGGAGTAATAATTCCAATGATTTCATGGTGACTATAGCTAATAACAATGTAGTTTATACTTTGAATTTACTAATAGTATAGATTTTTATATTCTCCTACCACACACACAAAAATAAGTATCAGAGATAATAGATATTTTAATTGTTTTTACAGCCTTTCCACAATGCATACATGAGATGTTTTTACTTGTCAACTAAAAACTAGAGTACTAGCCTTCGCACTTCACACGGAAATAAACAGATGGGATAGATCTTTGTAGGCCAAGATAAAGAAAAAATGTCTTTCTTTACAACAGCAATTGTTCTGATAACTGAATTCTTGAGAAAGTGAAACAAAATTGGACTTTGCTAGAGTCTAGGACTTTACCCTCACAGGTCTCTCTCTGCACCAGGCAGGGGCCCAGTCTCCTGGACCTGCCCGAACCCAGGCCAAGACTAAGGCTGGGCACAGAGGAATCATCCTGGGCAGCCCCTGGCACGGGCTGGATGATACCCCAAAAAGCTTTCTTTCAAAGGTCAACTTGAGTAACTATTTTTATTGCCAGGTTAAGTCATACAATAATAAAGTATAGTAGAACCTGGGGTTGTAGATAACTTGTTCAGTTAGTATTCTACAAGATGACGAGCACTTTGGATAAATTTTAATTTAATAAACAAGTGATATGAGTGGTTTGCGATGCTGGACATAGTGATACAGAGCTTCCAACTGCTACAGGGGAAATGAATGCCACTCCCAACCTGCTAGAGCTTCGATACACCTAGTTCATGTTCCCTGAAGTTAAAGAATGAATTCTAAGGAACAACAGAGGGTAAGAGCAAAAAATTATTGAGGAAAAAGAATGGGGAAAAAGAATAGCTTCGGGGGGGGGGGATCTCTAATGGGCTGCCAACAATCCCGCCTCTCAAAGGGAGCTTTATAGAGCAAAATTAT